ACGTTCGAAGAACTTTATAAATACAATAATAGAAATACCGGTTATGTTTACAACGCACCTTCAATCTGATAGCCAGAGGGATTATTGTGAAAGATCGCAGTATGTATCATCATAAACAGGCCAAGATAAAAGTACATGTCATTCATCTCCACATTATATCCCTTTTATCGACACGGGACATCGTTGTTACAGGTAGGGCAAACACTTTCTTCTAAAGTATCTGCCGGTTTCACGCTACATACATGTGTTCAGATTATCGAGAAAACTAGCGACGCAAATTCTCCTCCATCACACCAGAGACCACATAATCTATCATATGGCCTTTGATCACACATATAATTGTATAGATACCCAGTGTTTATTGATCGCGATGAAGCAACTTATAAAAATTTACAGCCGACAGTATCATCTGCATTACTCTCTTACATAAGGTGAAATATCACAGGGTTGTCATGGTAACGATAATTTGGCATACTATTTATTGTGTTATTTTTTAATCTGTGGTTAGAATTTAAATCAGTTTTGACGTGAGCATATTAAGAAAAGAGAAACTGTAAAACGAAATGCATTGTAATCGAACCTATAGGCCTTTGTAAAAGCGAGTTTCAAGCCACCTACATAAAAACCTGTTTTCATGATAAGTATCTGCTAATCCGTGGCACGATTCCGACCATATCATGGGCATGTGTTTGTGAATCATAATCAAATAGTGGTGTTACAAGGAGTCCATGCCGCGTCAACAACACATGCAAACAGGGGCGTAGCTACCATTATAAAAACCGCTCGAGCATTCACATGATCTTTGCTAAAAATAATTTATAGTAAATTACAGTAAACAGGTTATTCTTCATATCATAGCTTTCGGTGATGATTGTTTTTCCATCGACATGTATGAGGATGTTTTGTTACAGTCATGATTATAAGTGAATCATCACTGAAATGCAGTTGTTTATTTATCATTTATTTATCAATTATCTTAGAAAAAACACCAAATACTCGATGTATGAGGAAATCACACTTGAATTTCCATGGTGGTAAGACTTCCGTCCGTAATTCCCATCCCACCCCACCCCTCCCCCTTAAATTTTAACGATGAGGAAAACTTTCTTTGAGTGGCATTTATATGTCTTTCAGTATGTTGAGATTAAATAAACAAAACACGTTAAAACTCATCCTTATCGGATGAGGAATATATATTCAGGTGATATGATTTGACTGGAATGAAATTTAAGGGGGGATACAGGCGGAAGTCTTTCCACCATATTTTGAAGCTATTGAAATCATCAAACGTCAAACGATCAGGTCTCATAAAAAATGAAAGTTGGGCAAGCCCTCAATACCACCTAAATATAAGGTGGTTGCAGCCCATATTGCTTACACGAAAAAAATGGCTTGCTACGTGCCTGGCAAACGCACGAGAATTGCAATACTGGCCTCTAACCACTGATTCTCCGTGACCTGGAGACACATGTGATTGAGCATGTGTTGGGACGTCGTCTGTCATACAGACCCTGAAGCAAATATATCCAAGCCCACGCAAGTCTACAAGATGTGGCAAGACTAGATTTCCACAGCTTCAGGAGAAAGTCTTAGGGCTCCTTTTCCTTATATAATATTCTTTTTTTTCTATCAACTTTTTTTCTGTAAAATATGTTCATATCAGAGACTAGTTGTTAATCTAGTTCTGACGGGTAGAAGACAAAAGACAAAATGGATACTAGTGCTGTTACATTTTTTAATTATATATAAACATTCGTCCTTGGCTCGGAATAAATGTATATTTTCCACCAAATGTACATTCGGAGGATATCGAAATCTAGGTTAAGCTATTTGAATCATATTTACAATTAAAAGACCCAAACAATGGTGTGTTGTCCACATTTTTGGTTTTCCATAGTCACAGAACGATATTTTCTCCCCTTCCGTCTCTAGGAAAACTCACTGCAGGGTTCGGGTTAAGGAGAGCCATACCAAACACCCACAGCTGGCGGGACCAACATCTCCAGTAACATTTACATCTGCCAACGCTTAATTCGCACGTGGTGAGGCAATAAGCTAATGAGGCTAAGGGTCCTGTACCATGTTTGTGAAAAATCTATGATGCCTTATATGAAGTCTATCATCTAAGCAAGTCTAGCTATGTATGGCGTTAAGTCACTGCTTGAAGAAAGGCTCCTTTAGAATTTTATCTGGTCAATATTAGTATTTCCATCATATCGGAAATTACATAGACTAACGCTTAGTGTCTGAATATATATAATTTTGATAGTAACAAACAAGCCCATTTAAATTGAGCCCCAGGGAGACACGAGATTCAGTCCGGCTAGCCATGGCAGCTCCAGTTAGCTATAGATATGTTTACTTTGTAACCCGACCCCAAAAGTGAATTAGGGTTCTTGCAGATGTTAACAGACCCTGGACCTGAGGAGATCTAGACTTGCTTCATTTAAGGCTTTAGCATTGCACAGAGGGCTTGGCAGTAGGGGAAATAATGTGGTTCAGGGACTGTGAGACAGACTAAACAGTAAGGAAAATAATGTGGTTCAGGGACTGTGAGACATACTAGAAAATGCATGGCAACCTACACTTCATTGTTCCTATCACTTTAAAACACAAGGGTTATTTCCTTTGCGTTAACTGACATGCTTTCGGTGTCAAATTATTTGGAACTCCAGCCCAAGGTGGTGTTATGCTGTCTGGAAATATGGCCTTTTTGTAATGCCATAATGATAAGTGATTGTTGTACATATGATGTTTTTGAAGGATAATATCAGCGTACTAATACTTTGCACGTGTTTCCCCCCACTCTTTCCATACCTGTGAAAGTTAACTTTCCAATATATGCCTGTGTCAACGCGTGGTGTACGCGTCAACTGGGGAATTAGCTCATAATTAAGATGAAGTGTGCTTTGATGAAGACGAAGGCATAGTTGAGTTCAAACTTCTTTAGTACATGACAAACAAATGCACAAGACATACATGTGGGAGAGCGGAGTACCTGCTCAACCACAGGGCGTTTCCAACGAGCGGCATTATCCTGCTCGTGGTCGTCCCAACAGACAGTCCAAATACGGGACTCGTACTCCTTCGCTGTCTAGATGTGAGCATACTAAGTATATATACAGTTTTTGACAACAATGGTCAGGCGACGACTCATCAATGGACAGACAGAAAAACAATAGTACTTCCTTGACCAGTTGATATGATGGCAGACACGGCCAAGGGGGATTACCAATGGAGGTTATAAATGTCTTATACAATAATTAATGGGCTGACAAGTCAATTTACAATGCGGTAGTGATAAGGATGTACAGTAGTGATTAAAAAAAAAGCTTAGCGTCATTTATATATTACAATAAAGTCTCACATGTCTTGAGTACATAGTTTTGGACTTTTTAAATATTTGGACGATGGCTGTCCTGACTTAGTCACTATAACAACTTCCCTCTGCTCCGTAAAGCTTGGACCCCAAGCTTAAATAAATTGAGTCCAAACTGATAAGAGTGAAGCTATATAAATACCAACAGCTCAGATCAGTAAATAATCACAAAGGAACAATTCTTAAAGTCATTGAAATCTCGTGCAACAGATATGCCTATGCCATGACAGTATAGGAGTGATCATCTTGCCAGTCTGATGTGTTGTAATGTACATTTCACATGCAGGTATTTACTGCATTGGACAGATTCAATAAGCATTCATTAAAAAGATATTTGAAATTAGGGGTGAGATAGGTCTGGGGTGAAGTAGAGTGGCCGTCTCTATCTCCTAGCACTATTAATAACATCTACGTGTTAAGGTTGAGACCTATCTTATCCCATTGCTAAATTACAGTTGTTAGTGAGAAGAAAGATTTTTAGTAATAAGCTAGAATTGAGAGTTTTAGAGGACCAGTGCCAAATAATGACAATACATGTAATTAGCGTCATAAAAGTACACATAAACATCTCAGCAAATATTTCACATTAAGAAATTTGAAACCAGGAGTCTAACTTTACCGCGCGACTCAGACGGTACTTGTGGGTACTGTTGCCCGTTTAAGTACGATGGGTGCTCTTCCCGTGTCTGTGACGGAGCTTGCCCATATAGTGTGGGTGCTATGCCCAATAAAAAAATAATAATCCTACAATGGGTGCTATAGGCCACTCTTAATATTTATGCATGTGACCTTTGACCAATATCAAAACGAGGTCATACCCGCGTAATCAGCGAATCGTGATGGCGACGAAATCCGGGAGCGATCTGACGGCTGTCCCGTCTCTCACATTTTCCTTCGTGGAGACTTATATACAGATGAATAGCAGAAGTGCCGGGACTTCCCAACTGAACAAAGGCTTCAAATATTATAGTGAAGGGTTCATTTATAATTTGCGAAGTAAGTTTCATTCATCAATTTCCAATGTTGTAAATGGTACAGTAGCGATCGCAATATGGCTGTCAATGTCATTATGTCATTGCTGATTTATGATTGAAGAAGGCTTATTTTCCTCTTGACATGTTATCATATTGACTTCACCCTGAAAATTACGGGACATACGTTAATTATTATGAAGTGCAACTGAAAAGCTGTTTTTGAACTACTTTAACCTAAGTTCCATCATGTCAATAACCTAGGCCGTAACCGTCAGATAGTTATTAGATCTATGTAAAATTCAAATGATGTTATTTCGTGTAACATTATTCCCTTGTCTTGTATTTTTTCACCTGTAATCGGGTTTTGGCAGCATCATGTGATGACACATCTTGCGTAATAACAGCTCGTTGTTACCGTTCCATGAAGAAAATGACTCGCCACACAATATAACTGTAAGTTGGGTTCATAGTATTGTCAAGAAAAATATTATCAGTCTGATATCAGAATATATATATTATATATTATTATATATATATATATATATATATATATATATATATATATATATAAAATATAGGAACACATATTTTGTAAAATATCTCATTTATGTTAAATTGTGATAGCCTAGTACATTCATTTCACTCAAGTACATGTACTATGAAATGCAGGTCACCTTAGAGAGCAGTCCAGTGGTTAAAGTGGTCAGCGCCAGCTGCAGCTGTGCCATAGGTCAGAGCCAGTGTTGTGGTCATGTGACAGGTATGTCATTAGCCTATTTCAATGAATAATAAGTAATTTCTGTATATATTAAACTGAGTATCTGATTTCATTGTTCCTGAAAATATGTTTTTCTTACACAGGTGTTTTATATCTGGTGGCCCACTATAAGCAGAGAGGAATGAAGTCCATCCCACAGGATATTGCCAAGACCTCCATGCCACAGACATGGCACATCCCTCGCCAGGACAAAATATCCGGTATGTCAGTACCAGAGATAAAGGTTTCTGGATACAAGAGTGATGGAGAGGACAGGCCAGTGAAATCAACCCTTTACAACCCCATTAGGTCTACCCTTCCACCATTGGAACCATTTTTTTCATCCCTGAAGTTAAATCATCCTGATCTATCACTATTAACAACAGTTCCACAGACTGATGAGCCAGCACCACCTTTTGTAAGAACTAATTTTGGATTGTTTCCTAAGGGTAGCACCATCAGCCATCAACAGAAATTATCTGGAAATTATCTGATAAACATTGTGGATGGATTTTTTCCTGATTTGCCCATTAGTGCTGAGCAGACAGGAGAGAACAACTACAGCAGTGTGCTGACAGAGAGTCAGACAACTCTGCTAGACTCACTCAGTGTCAGTCAGGATGAGGCTGTGGAGATAGAGAAGGCTACCAGACTCCAGGCGCAGGACAAGAAGTGGGTTCGTCTGAGACGTCACAGGGTCACAGCTTCGAAATTGGAGAAATTTCAAAGCGTAAAAAAGGTAAACAGAAAATAAACCTAATTAACATTAAGTTTTATGTCATTAATTTCATTAAAAGAAAATGTTGCACCCAAATCCATTACATTACAAAAAAATAATAATAAAATTTCAGAACCAGAGAAGTTTGCAGAAAGACTGAGATCTTCTTCTAGGACCGTTCTCACAGAGGCAATGAGAGAGGGCATTGCCAATGAGCCTTTTTGCAGTAGAGGCATATGGGAAGGTAAACATTTCAGATTGATTAAATCATATGTGTAAATGGATCAACTGAATAAATGTACATGTGTATATGTAATTAACATTGAATGTTAATATTTGGGATTAAGGAGAGTAATCTCAACATACATAATAAATATAAAGAAGTGTACACATGTGCCTATATTTAAAATTGTATGTTGATATTTCAGCTAAAGGAGGGCAATGTGAATATATATCCCTGTGGGATTGTAATAAGTCCCAGAGCAGCATGGATGGCTGCTTCTCCAGACCGGAAGGTGCTAGACCCCAGCTCCAACCCTCCTTTTGGTCTACTGGAGGTGAAGTGTCCAGACCTGCGGAATAAGGACCTCTGTGATCTGCAGTACCTCAGCCTGAAGGACAATGGCCAGCTTGCTCTTAAGGCAACATGTAACTACTATCATCAGATCCAGATGCAACTGGCAATGACTGGTTTGAAATGGTGTGATTTCTTTGTCTGGTCTGAAAGGCAACACCATCTCGAGAGAATTGACTTTTGTCCTGAGAGCTGGCAAAGGGTGAAAGACAAGGCAGATAAATTCTTCTTTGATTACCTTCTTTCATAGTTTCTGTACTACTATGTTAGAAGTCATTTCTCTGATTATTTCAATTACCAAAAAATCAGCAATATTCTTAACATCAAGCTAGATGAAATCATATCAAGTTTAATGCATTCAGAAAATACAAGAAAATCAACTTCTTTCATTGTTTAATTGATAAACATATAATGTGAGGTATATATTTCATATATACATCAAACATGTTCTCTGTTCATAACACTTTGTGTATTGTTATTAATCATTCAGAAACAAAACCATGCAATATTGATCTAGTTCACTGCTTATTAGAAATTCTGGCATTGTTTAAAGAGAGATACTCACAATTTCAGCATATCCTAATTCTGAGCATTTTACTTACTACCTGTGTATATTTCAAAACATTGATATCTATAAAATGTAAAAAATCTGTGTATTTAACAAAATATACAGTCGATGAAATATTACAGATTTAGCTGTAATCACATTTATTAATTTATATTCACAAGTTTTTTTTGAGCATTTGTCATAAAACTTTTATTACAGTAGCATTTATTCAACAGAATCAATAATGACATCTTTTGACAATCTAACAATTTAAATGTAACTTTGTTACCACAACATAATCTTATCTGTAATACAGACAGACAGACAGTATTCATTCAGTAAAGAGGCCCTCGCCCATAATACAATCAGACTGACATTGTTTTTAGTGGGTTCGCAATACAACTTTGCAGCTCTATGTCCTGGAGTTCAGTTTCTGTACATGGTATAAGTATAGGCCAAGACTGTATATGACAGCATCATTTTTGCTTTGCAAAAGATTTACGACAGAGTAATGAGTAAGTGGTTCTTTAGTGAACTTTGTTATATATTTCTTTCTAGGTATATCATAGGTATTACAAATATATAGTACATGATATTCATTTTCTATATAATGCTGACCTCTGGTTTTACAAAAAAGGACATAGCCCTTCGTTATATTCAATTCCATTATACCTGCCACATTCAACAGCCGTATTAAATTACTGCATCTAAACCTTGATATAGCAATTCTTATATGCACAGGGATATCACAACACAAATATTTTTTAATATTTAACAAAGTTTTGAACTCCTTGTAAAATATACATTAAGAAGATTCACTAATTGATGAGAACCAAGACTGTTTTAAGTTATCACCTAGCCTTAGCTTGAATAGATACACAGAATATTCCACATTTCCAATTTCTTGGCTTAGCCAAGCATAACCAAATCCATATTGAAACAGGATGTGTCTAACTCCGGTTACCCAGGTATTATAGCCTAAGCTATCTGGTGATCTGAACATGTAATACAAATTTGTATTTTGAAGTTTTCAGAAATTTATTTAATTTGAGTTTTTACTATGATCATAGTTTCATAATAGGTCCTGAATCTATTATAAACTCTGATGAAAACTAACTAACACTGTAAATAAATACTCTGTTATACCATTAGTGTCAATATGATGTATATATTATGTTCTCATAAAAATGCAATACAAATTTCATGCTAATCAACATTAAACCTCAATCAGTTTTCTTTCATTTCTTTTTTATCAAAGGTCCTTGAAAACTTGATGTAATGCATGCTACAGTCCACAACTGATTAATGCTGCCCAGTTCAGCAAGAGAGACTGTAGAATCAAACAGGTGATTCTCTTTAACCCTTCTGATCAGTCTTTCTACATGAATCCTAAGGGATGCAATGGACTGTGTCTCCCATACTTCACTAGGCGTGAACTGTCCAGAGGAATACAGAAATGGAGGAATGTTCAGACCAACACCTTTCTCACTCAGTATACTGGCAATAGTAAAACCCTTATCAGTCATAACACTGTCCCCAGGTTCCAGCAAATCTAGAATGCCAGACAGTTTAGTTATTTCAACATCTGACATGACACCTGTGTACAGATTGGATACAAAGGTAATAGCACCATTTGGGGCAATGCCAATCAGACCTTTCAGAGTGCAAGAGCTCTTGTAATGGGAGTAAAACATGGAATTTAACACCAAAGCTGAGGGAATTTGGATCCTGAGCTCAGTACAATCTAAAATGACTCTTGTAGATGGGTAAGTTATCTGAAATTCAGGAGGCATGTGTCTGTCTACTGTCACTCTGGAAGGCCAGATAGGAACTGATCCAAGAACAAAATAGAGAAAATTTGCCCAGGTGATAATTTTTCGACTAACAGTCGAAAATATGGCAGTTAAAACGAACAGCAAGATCCTGTTCTGGTAAACCAAGCCTAAGGCGTACAAAAAACATGAACATTTCATCAATAAGGGCCATATTTCTTGGTCTACCTGCAAGAGAAATGGCATTTGAGCATGTATAATACATACTGCACATATTGGAGGCACTTGGTTTTACAAAGTCAAAAACTGTTTGAACAATTTATAGCTACGAAAAGATGTGTAGTACTGGATCATATCATCATTTCCAGCAAATCTTTCCAGTCCAAATCTCTCAAGGGTGAGCTGTTCTTTTAACAAATCTTTCTCCTCCTCAAGCTCTTGAATTCTTTTAGAAGCACCTGTGAATCAAACAGACTGATATCTGTCTGGGTCTGAGCTGACAACTGGTGCTCACCTTCAGCATGAGGGTCACAATCTGACATGGAGTTTGCATTTTCAGAACTGAAAAATAAAGAATTTACTTTCAGTGGAAATCAAATGTTTGTATACTTCAACATTTATTCATTTCTAAATATTATGATGAGGTATGAGGGTCATCAGTGATTATGAATCCTTCATCTGAAATTTAATTAGATGGAAATACTTTAAATTAATGGATACACAAAAAGAAAAGACATCTTTAGTTAAAGAGCATTTGAACTGAAGTAGTGCTTACACATCTACCAATTTGTTTCTAACTCTTAAACTGACCTTTCCCATGAAATAACTTGTTTTGGCATCAGTGGATGACGGATGGCTGGTGCTTTTCTGGACTTCATATTTTCCAAGTTCCAAGGAAATATGGATGGCACAGATCCTTGCTGAGGGTCTTCCTTACCGGTGTGTACTTGTAGTCCTCAGGCCGGAAATGCTTTGAGCAAACAACACTCTTCCTGGTGATCTAAATTTAAGTGAAATTAAAATAAGTCTACTGTCATTATAGATTTTGAGCTCCAAGATTTAAAAATATCTCTTTTTTTAATAGTTACAATAAATAGTTGTGTATATAAGTGATTCTATAATAATTCTTCCTGGGTCCATCTGCCATTGTTTCAAATAGGACCACGAAAGGCTAATGTATGCAATCGTCCTGGTAATTTAGTAACACGAAAGGATAGTTGAAAACAAATTTGACATGCAAAATGCTATCATGTAGTTGTTTGAGACAAAATATCTTTTGTCTTATAATCTGTTTGACAACTGCAGCCCGATAATATATTCGTTGCTGTTTGGACGACTCAAATTCTCGAGATTTAATTTCGAAAATCCTGAATGAAAATTTTAACCTACCGTAAAGAAGGGTCCTTCGTCCCGACGAATGGCAATTATCCATCTCCTTCGCACATCTTCAGCCTTCGGAAATGTGTGAAACGAAAGTGAATTGTTGTATCTCGCATCAGATGTACACTGAGGTACAGAGCAGTGATCAGCTGCCATATTTGCGGTGGTATAACCTCGTTTTGGAATCGGTCAAAGGTCACATGCATAAATATTAAGAATCCGCCCTATACACTTAATACATTATGGTATAGATAAGAAGATAGTAATGTACTGGTCTGTGATCTAACATACCTGGTTGCACTTATCAACAATAACACATTGTATATCCTGAACGGAGTCCATTTGAGAACACACAGATAAGTAAGTCCTGATGAGTTCTGTTGTACACAATGTCCATCTTGAAGAAGTCCTTGAGGTATTTTCTGTATGAATACAGGATCTCCATAATGATGGCTGTGATCAGATCTCTGTGGGAGAGACACATGTACTTGCTTGGACTGTGGTATGTTGCTGTTTCATCCTTAACTTGTAGGTTGTCCATCAGGTGGTTTCTGTATGATGCTCCATTCAAGATGGCGGCGTTGAGGATCCATGTTGATCAAGACGCTTGAAATCTCTTCAGGTAGATGTAGAACTTGGGGAATCATCCTTGATACACAATGTTAATGGTAGGCACATAGAGAGGTTTCCAAGATCGGGAGTAAACTAAAAAGTTACTCTACCCGGATTCTCCACCAATTTGTCAACGCGTGGTGTACGCGTCAACTGGGGAATTAGCTCATAATTAAGATGAAGTGTGCGTTGATGAAGACGAAGGCATAGTTGAGTTCAAACTTCTTTAGTACATGACAAACAAATGCACAAGACATACATGTGGGAGAGCGGAGTACCTGCTCAACCACAGGGCGTTTCCAACGAGCGGCATTATCCTGCTCGTGGTCGTCCCAACAGACAGTCCAAATACCGGACTCGTACTCCTTCGCTGTCTAGATGTGAGCATACTAAGTATATATACAGTTTTTGACAACAATGGTCAGGCGACGACTCATCAATGGACAGACAGAAAAACAATAGTACTTCCTTGACCAGTTGATGTGATGGCAGACACGGCCAAGGGGGATTACCAATGGAGGTTATAAATGTCTTATACAATAATTAATGGGCTGACAAGTCAATTTACAATGCGGTAGTGATAAGGATGTACAGTAGTGATTAAAAATACAGCTTAGCGTCATTTATATATTACAATAAAGTCTCACATGTCTTGAGTACATAGTTTTGGACTTTTTAAATATTTGGACGATGGCTGTCCTGAATTAGTCACTATAACAACTGTAAGAAAATACTGTAAAGTAATGGGATTGCTGAATTTGACCACCGGAGGTAGTGACCACAGCACTCTGGTTATACTGCATTGGGAGAGGACAGAGCTTGGCAAGGTACCAATAAATATGCTCGTCATTTAAACCTTTATCTGATATTTGTGGAATGTGATTTTATAATTGAAGATGCTTCCTGCACCTGTAGCCCCAATATAGATGTTGTTAGTCGGTGAATCTTCCAAATTACTTCGTCTCTTTTTATCAATTGAAATTAAGAT